ATGAGTTTGCATTTAAACATTAATCGATGTTTTCTTTCAATGATAGAAATAAAATTTTCTCATTTCTCTTGTTTTCTCTCCTAAGGGAAAGTAAATTAGGTATCATTTGAATAATATTTTTAAAAAAATAAGTTATCATTCATTCTGTCAATAATTAGCGTATCTGTAAACGAAGGACACTATAGTTTTGCAAAGAATAAGAAAGTTTTTATACATAACTAGAGAAAAATGAAATTATTGTTATTATTTATATTATTACATGAATTGGTATATAATATAATAGGGAATAACACTTACATTATATGTTGTTCTTCAAAGTCAGAGAGAAAAACTTCTCTTCAATTAATGCTTAATAACATAAAACACAAAATAAATGCTTATTCTTATGGATAACTAAATAAGTAGAAGAAATGTTTTTCATCTAAAACATTGACACGAATAGTAATAGTGAACGCATTCAACATTTACCACTAATCGAGAGAAAGTGTGACAAAAAAATTATGTTTTCTTTTCTCACAATTTCGATCTTCTGGTGAAGAATTGCACTCAAAATATTAGTTCTCGACAGTCATTGAGTGGCAGTATTTGTGCTAAAATTAGTGCATTGAACCAAATATTAAATTTGGATACCAATTGAATAGTAGAGAAGAGTTTGTGTTTGTAATGTTTGCTGTCAAATACATTATTGAAGTCTACGATCATTATTATGACAGCGAAATGCAGTTTATGAATTGAACGCTCTTTTAAGCTATTATTCTACTAATGTATGTATTAATGCATATATAGGTTGAAAACACTTTGCAAATCATTAGTCTGTAGTTTAAAACATTTGCCTCCTGTGACAATAAAACATTATTATTATTTTATTTTACTTATATTATCTCAATATTGTATTTAACTATTGGAAGGGTTTGCACGAAATGTACAATATTTATGAAAATATAGCAAATGTTCCGCATATTCAGTGAATTATATATTAAAATATTTAGATTCCCTCTCATAATAGGATAGGACGACCAGTTAAGCACTCAATGCATTATTTATAAAACATTACTCTTTCGCTAAAATTCAGATACATTATTCAATTTGTAAACTGATTTCAATTGGAAACAGTTTTATAAATAAAAATAGTTTTGTGACTCAATTGTGACATTTGGCGAAAAATGGCATCAAAGTTATGCAAATAGTCTCCATTGAACCCAAAAGGCACACAACAATTATTTTGTGAGTCCACTCCTATTCACGTGTATTATATTATTATAATAACGTAAATATATGCTACAGTAATATAATATATTGCATACTATAGTATAAATGAATTTTTATTACAAACATATCAAACGCTTCACATATTCCTTGTTATGATTTATTCAATAGAAATCTATTCAAATGCATTTTCCAAACATACTGTATATTCATGGAATCTATATTTATAGATAATATTGAAAACAATTAATTCTGTATTAAACTATTAGCGATGCATTAAAATAACAGTCATTACAGTTATTAAAATTATATACAATAAATAAGTGATATTATGATTTATTTTAGTAATCCAAGTACTTTGATATTTGGAAACAATAATTTGAGACTCATACTTTTATTCCAAAAATATATTTTATTTAATGAAATTAATTAATTTAGCAAAAACAATGAATTATAAATGAATGTGCATAGTCTAGTAATACCGTATTAAGCCATGGTTATGTGGAGGCAATTTTGGCATACTTTCCCTGAATGAATATGCGCTCCACACTCGTGCCTTCCTTACGGTTCACTGTTTGGCGTCTAATGTATTCATTTTGAATGACTTCAAAACCACACGATTTGACCAACGAATCCATATATTCTGAATTTGACACCAAATGAGTTTCAGTGCTCGCAAATAGAGACTAATAATCTATAAATAGTGGCAATGATAACTATGGCACAAACCGGTCGAGAAATAGTAGGCACGGGTGCCGTCCTGTCGGACGTAGAAATTATCGTCGAGTTTGTGTCCGTCACTGAACCGAAGCATCGCGTGATCGTAGAGCCCATAGTCGCGGAACAGCAACAGACCCTTCGGACGTAAAACCTATTGAGCCGTCAAAACAGCAACAAAATTATATTCAGTATTGTTTCAACAAATTAAACACGAATTAAAGTGTATTTTTAAATTTATTAAAAATTTATACAAAACTCCAGAAAACAATATGTTTGCATAGATTTCAAATGTGTATAACCAAGAGATAAGATAAATAAAACGTGTCTTTTTTATCTCTCACTAATTGGCTTCACTTTAACTAATGCTCAATTAGTTTATGAATAAGACTTGTTGTTTTTTTGAAAGATTTTTAATTTAATCGTCAAATCTTTATAGCATTGAAGTCTAGGAATTGAGTCAAATCACGAGAATTGAGGGCAAAAACATAGAAATTGTATAAATTATTCATATAAACAGAAAAGTAATTTTGATAAAAGAAAATAATTTGCATATAATATACCGTTTAAATGACTTTACTATCAGTAAAACATAGACAGATCTAATAAATAGATTAGCCGTAAAAATGCTTTTATAACTTATTTTATTGAATTGTCAATAATTCAATTTAAATTGTTTTATTTCCCAAATAAATTTAACTATAAAATAGATTAATTTGGTTCTCATCTTAAAAGTAATGTAATTTTTCCTGTAATTGAAAATACAATTTAATGAAATATTAATGAGTCTAATGGACAATAGCTCAGACTATCCATCAAATAATAATAGCAATTAAAAGCCAATCGATTATAATTTTAAACTCAAATTTTAAAATAAAATGTCAACATAGATACCGTAAGCTTTACAAAGTGGGCAAAATATGATTGCATAATAAAATACAACACGCTTAAATGTAATAATGAAAAGTTTTTATAATAAAATTTTATGATTTATATTCTTAATGGACGCACAATATTTGTCCTAAATTTTATATTTAACATTTACTTATATTTTATTCTCATATTTATCATAATTTATAAATGTTGATCACAATCGTTGATAATTTTAATTGTAATCAATTTATTATATACAGTATTTATTTTGTTTTTCGAAAATTAATATAAAATATTAATAAAATGTTAATACTTTTAATTAATAGAATTGTTAAATAATT